GAATATTATATTCTGATATTATCTGAATGACAACATCCCAGTAGACAGCAATTTGTTTTTGGCTCTGCAAGTAGCTTGTCTTATGTAGCTCTCTGTACAGTCCCTATATCTGTTCTATTGACTTTTCCTTAGATTCTGTCCACTAGTTCTCATAAGTCAATTAATTACATGTTTAATAGGTCCCACTGAAAACTGAAATTTTTGCCACACAATTATGTATAAAAATAAAATTGAAATTAAAATGCACATATTCTCCTGCAGCGTTTCTGCACAATCCAGTTCACGGTCAGCAAAGTGGTTTTTAGGTGAGCCCTGTAATTTTCTTCAAGTTTCTCCACCAGTTCTATCACAGTTTCAGCACAACTCTACTCCTCTAGAAGATAGGGACAGACTATCTTCCTATTCACATCTTACAGTCCCCATCTCCTGGCCAACCCAAGTGGTCCATATTTCTGGAATAAGATTGGTTACACAGCACTGCTACCTGGCAGAGTTTCTTCTCCTGACAGGATAAGGACTTATTTCCTATTTTTTTCATATGTACAAATAGAAGATGTATTGATAAGTTTATTACAGCTCAGCTAAAGGGCCCTAATTTTCCCTTCTGAGTATAGCAGGGTTTTGCTTGTTTCTTGAAAACCTTTAACCTTTCTTATGCACCAAGAAAGATCATTTTCCTTCACAGTTCCAACAGAAGAAACAACTTATTGGTGAATAGTTTAGCTCCACTTCTGTTTCAGCCTCTGGAGTTACTACTTTCAGAGTAACAAGCTATGGGAAGCTTTGATAATGAAAGAAAGGTTGCATGAAACTGAATTCTGAACTGCACTGTGTCTCAGCCTGGTCACAGCCTCTTTTTCTCTCTCTGCTGACTATTCTTAATTGCTGTTTTGGGAAGTCTACTCACTTCTATTATATCAATATAGCTCTTTATTTTTTAGTCTTTTTCTGTTCTTTCACTTTAAAAGTCTTTTTTAAGGACTCTTTTTTTATTTTTTTTTTGCTGTTGTCATTTTGTTGTGTTCATATTCTGCTTCCTTCTTCCTTAGTGATTCTCTTTCATTTCGATGTAATGGCAAAGCCCATATTTCTTCCATTCATCTTGCCAAGATCCTTGAATATTTTCTCCCCCTCGCCTCCTTTTCTTTTCCTATCTTTTTCTTTTGTTTCTATTTTATTTTTCTTTTATTTTCTTTTTCTCTGTCCACATTGATTCCTAGATGTCTTTTTTCTTACATTTCTCCTTCCTGAAGAGTCCTTGTTACTCCTCCCACAGCTGCCCATGGCTTCTGTTCTTTCCTGATATTGCCATTCTCTTTCCTCTAGGATAAGCAAAAGCAACATAGCATTACCATTTCTGCATGTGAAAAACAATCTCTTCTTTTAGCTATAAGCAAGCTTATTGCCCAAATGCATGCATATTTTTCTATATCTGGACTTTTCCATCCTCACTTCCCTGCTGTCCTCACTCAACTTTTGCCCTGCTTTGGTCCTTGCTTTGTGCCCCCATTCAGCAGGTCCTGGCATGCAGTTCCTCTGCCTGATGATGACAGAGAGCATGATGGATGAAAACCATGAAAGACGATCTGAAAGAAGTCAGAAGATGGGTTTGTGGTTGAAGTTTCTGCTACCTGTGGTGAGGAAAACAAAACTACGAAAGGGACTGCAGGTGTAGAGTGCCAAGGGTGAGAAGTAACCCTCTCATCCTGGAAATGGTACACCTAACTGTGGAGAGAGCATGAAGGAAGTGGCATTTTTCTGCTTTGTTTTGCTGCTCCAAAGGACTTTGTTGATTTCATAGGTTTGGGTCTAACAGCTTTGGAGTTAATGAATGAAGGGGAGGAAGTTGAACAGTGTGACTGGAATGGAAAAATTCTGCAGTACGGGGAGATCTGTGTTTCTCTCCTTTCTGTTGAGGCTTAGGAACACACCTGCTGTTGTGCCTGCCATTGCCAAGGCATGCTGAGCACATCTCTCAGCTGCTCCTCATTGTGCATGGGCATGAAGCTAGGCATTGCTGGCTGGCTCCTGAAGGGCATTCCACAACTGCAGAACTGCTGATTTATTTAGGATTTTAAGCAATGCTACAGTTCTGCAGAACAACACAAAATTTTTCAGCCAAGGCCTGCTTCTGCCAGGGCTGGAATGACCACAGTGAAGACCTGGAAAGACTTTTAGACATAGAAAGTCTTGGATGAACAGATAACACTTGTATTATCCCCAGAAGAAATCTTCCTCATCTACCTGAAAACCTCCAGTATCCCTGGGTAGCCCCCTCACTTTGACGTCTATTCATCCCCAGATAGCTAGACTACATGTAGTGCCACTAAAAGAAGTCTATTACCTTCTGAGATAAAGCATATTTTTCTGAACACCTTTTATAATTCTTCTTTTCCTCTGAATTCTCTCCAGAATTCATCTTTCCTAATGTGCAGTGCCAGAAATTGTTTGCAGCAGCTCAATCAAGGCTTCTCCAGAGTCAAATGGACCAGAATTTCCTCCTTTGACATTAAACTTGCTCAGAATGAATCGTAGAATGGCCTGGGTTGAAAAGGACCACAACAATCATCCAGTTCCAACCCCCTGCTATGTGCAGGGTCGCCAACCAGCAGCCCAGGCTGCCCAGAGCCACATCCAGCCTGGCCTTGAATGCCTGCAGGGATGGGGCATCCACAGCCTCCTTGGGCAACCTGTTCCAGTGCCTCACCACCCTTGTGTGAAAAACTTCCTCCTAAGATCTAACCTAAACCTCCCCTGTCTCAGTTTAAAGCCATTCCCCCTTGTCCTATCACTGTCTACCCTCTAAACAGCCTTTCCCCCTCCTGAGACATGCCCTTTTCCTGCATGCAGCAATATTATGCCATTAGGGCAGGGGTCAGAGCAGGGCCCATAGGCAGGAGCACCTTGCTTGTGTAATTGCTAATGATGAAAATGGGGGATCAAGGGAAAGAATCTCGATCCGCCCAATTCTGCAGAGTCATCCTAGATGAGCAGCACATCTGTTAGGAGCACCGGTGGTGGGGTAGCAGAGAGGGGAATGAAACCTAGGGGAGTGGGGTGCAGCTGGAGGGTGCTGCAGCTGCAGGGCAGGGCAGGGCAGGGCAGGATAGCGCGAGGGCATTTAGCAAGCTAAGGAGGCACTGAAGTCAAGGAGCTGTGAGTAAGCTAAGACTACCAGGAAGGGGCAACAGCCCTTGTATTTCTTGGAGTTAACACAGAACAGAAGGGAAGGGAATAACTTCCAGTACTTCCGCGCCTACCGGAGCTTGAAGACCTGCCGGCAGCAAGCACTTAACAGCTTCCCCTAGAAACCTCATCTCCAAAAACCGGCGAATTTCTGAGCAAACAATAGCGAGCAGCAAGGCCACGCGGGAACCTCGGCCCGATGCCGCCGGTGCGTCTCAGCAGCAGGCGCGGCGAGCTTCCAGCGCACCGCTGACTCCAGCACCGACTCCCCGTCTCGGCGCCCGGCGCGCCGTCCCCGACATTGCCGGAGGGAGCGGGGCGGGACGCGGAGGGGGCGAGGCTTCCTTAGGCCCCGCCCCGCTGGCGAGCACGTTGCGGCGGGCGCTGCCGCAGCTGTCAGTGTCAGGAGCCGGCGAACCGGGATCCCGGCTCCTCGGAGGGGGGAATCCCCAGACTCGCCCCCGCAGCCAATCCGCGCGCGGCATGCAAATCGCGGCCGCGCCGGGCGGCGGCGGGCCAGTGGGAAGGGAGAGGGGACGGGAGGCGGCGTCCGGTTGGACGGCAGGGAAGGCTGCACTGGCCAATGGGACGGCGGAGCGGGCGGGGCGCGCCCCGGGGGCGGGGTCATGCAAATTTAGTTTGAAAAGAGGGCGGGAAATCCGAGTTTCGCGGGAGGCCCTTGGCGCGTAACCCGTCTCCTTTCCCTTCATTCATTGTCAGCAGCCGCCGCTTCCTGGAGCCATTTTCCAGCCGGCCCCACACAGCGGGAGCGGCCCCGCTCCATCCGCCGCATCTGCCCGCCCCGCCGCCTCCGTCCCCCCCCGGCACCCCGCATCCTGCAGCCGGGGCCCCCCCGGCACCCGCCGCCCCCAGTATTTTGTGCGGGGCCCCGGCATCGAGCAGGAAAAGAGCCGGGAA